TGGGAGGTAGAGGAAACAGTTTCTATTTCGTAGCCAAGTTGGACTTCATAACAAGATCTTGTTTCCAAAAAAATGATTTTAGTTATTAACCTTTTATTATTGTCTGATTTTCCTTGTAGACAGAGTCTACTTTTTAACTATTGTTTTCTGTTATTTTTCTAGTGTTGTTAGTAACAGTACTTGTAGTAGAAGGGATTGCTGTGGCTCAGAAGACCCAAGGTAAAGTATGTACAATGGTAATTCATTGCATGTTCAGGGCAGTTTGAAAGAATTGCAATGACCTAAAACTTTCTGTCAACCTGTGGGCCTCAATTTAATCTGGAATCAGCTACAGTTAACTAAATTGTCTACATAAAGCTTACCCTGGCAAGTTTTTTAAAAGCTAGCATCACTAGTAGCTCCAACACATTGTGAATTATGTCCAAAAATTAAATGAGATTCATTGTTTGAGCACTAAGCAAAATTTAAAAAAATACTTTTCCAATGTGAACAAATAAAGCATTTCTGTCAATGCTGTATTCAAAACCCTTTGATCTTAGTGTAATTTTCCTGGCTTATAAAAGATCAGCTAGTGTGATTTTTGAAGCAAATTTTCATGTCAGAGTTTAGTCCCTGCTCTATGAAGAGAGAGAGAGAGTGAGAGAGAGAGAGAGAGAGAGAGAGAGAGAGAGAAAGAGAAAGAGAAAGAGAAAGAGAGGGAGGGAGGGAGGGCGCGAGCACGCTGTACAGGTACACACATTCCACATTGCATGTTGGAGGTCAGAGAACAACTTTCAGAGTTGGTTCTCTCCTTCCATTCTGATTTCCAGAGATAGAATTCAGGTCATCAGGCTTGTAAAAGCAAGTACCTTTTACCCTCTGAACCATCTTACCAGCCCTCAAGTAATTACTTCTTGAGCTGTTGGTTTGGTTTGGTTTGGTTTGGTTTGGTTGTTATTGTTTACTCTTTCATATTTTTAAATAGCATACAATACTGCTGCTTCTTGGTTGTTTCAGCTTTTAAACATTGGCTATTGATTTCTTACCAGGGAAGATGAGAATTTAGTTTATTTACATACATCCTGTCTACCCCATATGCACATATAAGCATTCTCTTGCTAGTTTTTGTTATACAATCCTTCTTAATAAATTTTGCATCATGATTCTGGTTAAATCAGCATTCACAGCCAGTGTTTGTGGTTCATGCATTTAATCCTAGCTATTTATGAGACCGAAGCAGAAAGATCACATACTTAAAGCTGATTTGGCCTGGGAAACTTTGCAAGATCTTAGTATTTACATTAAGCCACTCATCAAACTTTTTCGATATGAATTTTGTCTTAAGTTTAGGAATTTTTTTTGTTGTTGTTCAGCTTTGGAAATTCCCTCCTCCATTTTCTCTGTTCTGTTTTTTCAGGAAACCATAGAGCATAGAGCATTCTTGGGTTTTGTTTTCTTTTCTATTTAAGTTACCATACAAACTGGTGGGTGTATTTAACATTTTCTTTTTTAAAATGTTATTTATTATTTTTATGTGTATGAATGTATTGCCTGCATGTATGTAAGTGCACTCGTGTCATGCAATGCCCATGGAGGTCAGAAGAGGGCATTGGATTCTCTGGAACTGGAGTTGTTAACACTATGTGGGCGCTGAGAATCAAACCTGGGTCCTCTGCAAGAGCAACCAGTGTTCTTAACCACTGAGCCAGCTCTCTACCTACCTATTACAACATTTTCACATGTATGTTTTTGTTCCAATTATGGAGGATTCCTCAACCTTTTTACCAGAAATGACAAAGTTTTTTTGTATGGAAAGAAGTTAGTATTTAAGTCTGAAAGCCAAGCAATCTCTGAACTGACAACCCAGCTCTTTTGTTGTGTGAAAGCAAAATGTACGATCGAAGGACATTAAGGAAAACTTAATGTACACCCACAGGCACCAGATCTCTAAACTTTCTACTTTTTTCATTTTCTCTGTTTTGGGAGCTTATATCTCTGCATTTTTATTTTGTGAATATATTTTCTTTTCTATCTGGAGAAATTAAAGAAATGTTACTGGTTGGTTGATAACTTGAAGTTTTTAGTTTGTTTGCTTGTACAAGCTTTCTTTACCTGCAGTTGCTTTTTCCCGTTTGTTTAAACCATGTTTTCATACTAGGAGCTTCAAATGCCTGGTCATCCTTACATATCTGCTTATGCTGTAGTGGGAGCATTAAAAAGCTGATTGTGAGTTATCTGTAGGTATAGGTAGGAACGATTTACTGTGGCCCATACTGTGGACTGACCTGACATTTGAGATCCTCTGATCTATATGGATGACCCTTTCTTAAGTGGGAATTAACTTCCCCAAAGAAGAATCCCTTATCTCCAGTCTGGAGATTCTATTACTCCCCAAAGAGGCCAAGTGAGAGAAGCCTGGGAATGTCAGAGTCTGTTAACACTTGCCAGTCTCCCTGTTACCAAGTTGGTGTTTTCATCCTAGCTGTACCTGATGTCCCCCAGTACATTGATCCTAATTTACCTCCTCTAAAGAAATGTGCCATAGAAACGTGTGAATGTAGAAATTGTAGCACAATTTGCAAGAGTTCTCTCCTTCCACCATGTGGCTTCTAAGGATCAAACTTTGGTGGTAGGCACCTTTACGCCCTGAGCCATGTAGCCACCCCCTGAGACAAGATCTTGTTCTAGACTCTGGTTGTCCTCAAACTGGTGATCCTTCTGCTGCTCAAATTAACAGGCGTGCAGTGCCACATCTAACTTGTAATCTTTGACTATTATTTGGCTTTTGTGTTACCCATAAGCATACTATATCAAAGATGACTCCAGAGGTCATTTTACTTTTTATGTTACACTGAATTTTATTTAAATTTACCAGTTTATCAGATTCTCCCATATTTTGCCTTGTAAAGTACAAACAATTTATTTCCATGTTCTCTTATGTGACGAGCTGATCCTCTATCAGCAGGTTTTCCTAGTAAGCATAACATAGAAATTTATCTTGCATTTCTGCTGTACTCAATTGGTTATGCTAAATTTGGCAGTGGTTCTTAGGAAGTTATGTGTGCAATAGAATAGGCAATTGTTTAGGCAGTTGTAGAGGAAAGAGAAGAATGTTGTTTATTCTCTTTTGCTGTAATGATATCTAAAATTCTGTTTTAAGATGGACAAAATATTGGAATTAAACACATTCCTGCAACCCAGTGTGGCATTTGGGTTCGGACCAGCAATGGAGGTCATTTTGCTTCACCAAATTATCCTGACTCATATCCACCAAATAAGGAGTGTATCTATATTTTAGAAGGTATTTGAACATTTTTGTCCTTTGTTTTATAATTTTTTACTTCATTATAAAACTAACTGCATTAGAAAAATGCCTTGTTTAAACTAGTATAAACAAAATTTAAACATATTTAACTTAAATTCTAGTAATGGAAACTAAATATTTAATACATTAACAATGATAGTTAATTTTTTATGGTAATTTGGAATTTAATAAAATATAATTCAACTAGAAACATCACTGTATGTTAGAAACTTCTTTCATAAGGAGCTTAAATTAATGGCATTCCTTACTAGGCTTTATGCAAATTTATGTTCATATTAATAAGTTCTTTTTTTCTGTCTATCACATGTGATATATTATATATAGTACATGGTTTTTATGAACTAAGTAAACATTAGTCTTTCAACTTCTTATTTTATCCAATTAAGTATATTTAATAAATAACTTACAGCAAAGGGAAAGATTGCTATAGTTCTACAGTAGCATTATTAATGTGAAGAGGGCATTTATTATGGTTTCTATATATAATTCTCAGTGTGACTCTCATCTGTGGAACACTAGCAAAGGGATTATTTTGCTTTTCTCATGTGTCCATACATGTACCTCTTCCTTGTCACGCAGTCCTGATTTGCTTGCTCTTATTTTATAGCTGCTCCACGACAAAGAATAGAGCTGACCTTTGATGAACGTTACTATATAGAACCATCATTTGAATGTCGGTTTGATCACTTGGAAGTTCGAGATGGGCCATTTGGTTTCTCTCCTCTTATAGATCGTTACTGTGGCATGAAAAGCCCTCCGTTAATTAGGTCAACAGGAAGATTCATGTGGATTAAATTTAGTTCTGATGAAGAACTTGAAGGACTGGGATTTCGAGCAAAATACTCATTTATTCCAGGTAATGAATTTTAAAGAAAAAGAGTAAATTGCCTTTCTATGATTGAATATTTCTACTTCACTCTAATTTAAAAATCTTAAGGATAGGAAAGAATAATTTGGCTGAGCGTGGTGGCACACCAGTAGTCCCAGAACTTGGGAGGCAGAGGCAGGCAGATCTCTGTGAGCTCAAGGCCAGCCTGGTCCAAATAGTAACTTCCAGGACAGCTGGGGCTTCAGGGAGACCCTGTTTCAAAAAGATTCCCCCCCCCAAAAAAAAGAATAATTTGATCAAATTAATCAAATGAAGACTAAAAAAATTATCAAAGCCAAAAGGAAATCAGTCTGTGAACAAATAAAAACTTTTAAAAAAGGAAACAATAGAGCCGTGTATCATTTGAATTTTGTAGCATATCATAGTTGTATTTTCTTCTTAGATTTTTTCTTTGTTTGCTCTAGGGCACACATTTAAGACTAACACATCAAAATAAATTTTTTTTTAAATCAAACCCACTGTCTTGTTTTTACAATCTCTACAAAACTTATTTTTGCAGGATTTTTGTTTTGTTTTGTTTTGATGGTTTTTGGCTTTTATGAGACCGGATCTCACTATGTAGCTGTGACTGGCACCTGGAACTCACTACGTAGACCAGGCTGATTTGGAACTCAGAGATCTGCCATCCTTGCCCCTCCCCATGCTGGAATTTGTAGGCATGCACCACCTCACTCAGTAGCAGATTTTTCTGATTGCATTGATTAAATTAGCCACTCACAAATACTCTAGAAACTACTGAACAGTAGAATTAATGATGCTTTGTATTTAGTGGGAAAGATCTGTGTTTTAATCTTTTCTCTACCACCTAATAGCTGTGACACCTAAGCACAAAGTTGTACCTGAGATATGACAATAGTAAAACAGAAGTACCTTCTGTATTTGTTTCCTGAGGCTAATAAATACATATATGGTCATTTAAAACAGCAGAAATACAATTTCTTATAGTTCTGGAGACAAAAATTTCAAAATCCAACAAAGCCTCAATACCTGAAGGAATTGGAGCAGAGAATCTGTTTGTCTTTCTGATTCTGTACGTCTACTCCAGCAATTCTGTTTGTGACCATATCCCACATTTTTTTTCTTTCCTGAAAATTCTTTTTATTTATATTTATTTATATGTATATGTGTGTCTGTGTGTTCATTCATGGACATGTGTGATGCTTGAGATGAGAAGAGGGTATCAGATCCCCTACGGCTAGAGTTACAGGCAGTTGTGAGTTGACCCTTGTGGGTGCTGGGAACTGATCCCCTGTCCTTGCAGGTGCAACAAGCTGAGCCATCTCTCTAGCCCCAATTTTCCTATATTATATATTGCCTTGTAATATATTCACCCTTTTTTAACAATATAAAATAATATTTGTAGGGGATTTGAATGTAGATATATTTGAGCAGGGATCTGTATACTACCACATTACTACACTGCAAGCCTACTGTACAATCTTGTCGGCCCCCTGGTAGATAAGGACACTGATCAAATACTGCAAGAACTCTGATGCTTGGACCAGTGAAAAGTATACATACGCTGATGTAGAAATTCAAAAATATTCAGGTTATTTTTCTTGACTCCAAAGAGTTTGCAAACTTAACAGAATTTTTAAAAAATTGTGGAGCAACTATATAATATTTTCAAATTTTTTGTGAAGATTACTATACCAGATTTGAAAATATATTACAGAGCTATAGTCATAAAAACAGCATGGTACTGGCATAAAAATAGACTGTAGATCAGTGGAACATAATTGAAGACTTAAACCTGAGTACATGCAATTTCACCGACCTGATATTTGACAAAGGGGCCAAGAACACACAATGGAGGAAAGACGGCATCTTCAAGAAATGGTGCTGGCAAAACTGGATCTCCACCTGTAGAAGAATGAAACTGGATTCTTTTCTTTGACCTTGCGCAAAAGTAAACTCCAAATGGACCAAAGAGCTAAGTGTGAAACTCTGAAACTGTTAGAAGAAAACATTGGCAATAACTTGCAAGATATAGGTATAGGGAAGGCGTTTCTAAATTGGACATCAATTGCTCAGTAAACTAAAAATCTTCTGTACAGCAAAAGAAACAACAAGGAAGTGAAGAGAAAACCCACAGAATGGGAAAAAATCTTCACCAGTGACACATCTGACAGAGGTTTAACATCCAGAATATATAAAGAACTCAAAAAAACAAAGAATCAAGAAAGAAAGTAACCCAGTAAAAAGATGGGCTATGGTTCTGAACAGAGAGTTCTCAAAAGAAGATATAAAGATGGCTAACAAACATCTTAAAAGGGTTCAACATTGTTAGTGATCAGGGAAATGAAATTCAAACCACTTTAAGATTTCACCTCACCCCAGTCAGACTGGCTAAGAGCAAGAGAACAAATGATACTAAATGCTGGAGAGAATGTGGGGAAAGGACGCTCATCCACTGCTGGTAGGATTGGAAACTCATGCAACCCCTGTGGTAAACAGTGTGGAGAACTCTTAAAAAACTACAAATGAACCTACCATATGACCCAGTTATACCACTCCTTGGCATATACTCAAAGGACACATCCTATTGCAGAGACACTTGTACATCCATGTTTGTTGCTGCTCTTTTCACAATAGCTAAGAGATGGAAGCAACCTAAGTGTCCCTCAGTTGATGAGTGGATAATGAAAATGTGGTTCATATATACGATGGAGTTTTACTCAGCAGTAAAGAAAGATGAAATCATGAAATTTGCAGGTAAATGGATGGAACTAGAAACTGTTATACTAAGTGAAGTAACACAGACTCGGAAAACAAAGTATGTTCTCTCTCATATGTGGATCCTAGCACCAAATCCTTATATGTGGGTATGTAGCCAGATGTAACTGCAGGAACCAGAATAATGAAAAGGAACCAGTGAAGAAAGGGGAAAGAAAGAACCCAAGAGAGAAGAGCAGTAGGAAACAGGTGCTACTGTGGGAGAAATGGGTAAAAATGTGGCTATTTAAATGAGAGAGGGAGGGAAGGTTATATAAGGAAACTTGGGGATAAAGGGAAAGAAGGCTCTTGAGAGGTGGGACCATAGAAGGTGGGAGAAATGGGGACACTTTAAATGGGGAATCCATGGTAGAAGGGTTAGACTGGGGGTGGGGGGAAATAAATAATGCCTAGCTAGTTTTAAAAAACCAGAGGGAATCATTTTAGTCCAACAACCTAATGACAAATTACACATAACGGTATCTCTACATGAGTCCATGTGTATAGCTAAAGGTTACATAACAAGAAACAGTGCCAGACAGGAGAAACCTTCTGTGAGTTGTTGGCCAGGGTGGTTCAAGGGTGGTTTAGCCTCCTAAAACTCCACAGGCTATTGCCACAGCCCTTGATGGTCTCCCAGAACTTGAAGATAAGACCCTACTGTCAAAGGCAGAACATACTTCGGACACAGGATTTGTAGCAGTAGAGCTGGAACTGACCTGAAACCACCTCCTCTGAAGGCAGCTCTCATAGTTGGAGAGCACTATGAAGGTGCCAAGGGAAAATGTCAATTGATGGTTGAACACCAGCTTCAAGACCAAATAACCACATCAACGGACGGCACAGCATACAACATTGGTGTAGTAGTGGCACTTTTATCTTGGGGGCAATCAACAGCCACATAATTGGACTAAAAGCCCAAATTCAATGGGAGGAAACTCAAGTGTGATACTGTAAACATAAATACACATGGCTGAAGTGGTCATAGATATTAGAGAAAACCCCAAGACTGTCGCACCCCTAGGCTAATGTAATTACTATGTGCAAAATACATATCCTTATATTTACAGACAAATATCCCAATCACCACTCATCAGAGAAGCTTAGTTTGCACCAGCTGGAGACCATTGCCAAGTACCACAACTGGTCACACAGAGACATTGTCTATGAATTGCCCAGGCTTAAGCAACACATCTACAATGAAACCTCTATGCCTAAGGTGCATGGAACATAGAACAGGGGTAATGAAGACAATACTAATGAATCTCTCAGTTCTCATTAATGAAGCTCACTCATTCAACAGAGGACCAGAAACACAAAGGGTCACAAATGGCCAAAACATAGAGATTAAGAGTCTACAGAATGCTGGTTCTTGGACAGGACTCTCATATTAACCATCACCCACCCAAGGCTCAGGGACCATCGAAGAAGAGGGGCCAGTCAGGGAGGAGGTGTATGACCATATGGAAACAGTCCTACAAGCTCCTGGGAACCTGCTTATATGATTCTATGACAATTGTGTCAGCATACACAAGTCCCATGCAAACTCAGGTAGACAAAAATCCAGTATAGAACTGGACAGCAGACCCCAATCTTGGCTAAAGAAATATTGGCAGCTGATTACTGCTAGGCTAGGAAGAACTGATCTTCATAAAGGGACTCTAGATAGGCTGACTAGACTTCAGTGGATGGATTTGCACTGTGGAACGTCTGGGGACACTGACAACATATTGGGCCTTAACACGGATGACAGAGTTCCAGTGTTCCAGTGGGGCGGGGACAGGTGTATAAAGATGATTGAGATACTCTGTATGAAATACACAAAAATTCAATAAAATTTTTTTTTTAAATGAAAAGCTTAAAACATACAAATGAAGCAATTATTCATAATCCTGCAACTATATGTATAAAATCAGTGTTAACAATTTGATATTTATCTCTTCATATGGATTTCTTTATTCAGTTTGGTTTTTTTTTTTTTGCCAACAGTCATGCTAGGTGTATAGCTCTAGTTACTGTTTTGTTTTGTTTTTTCCTTAAAAAGAAACCAACTTTCTAAATCAGTAAACATTATGGAAGGGGTTTTTTTGCATCAGTATTATCTGTCTAATATCAGAAGGACAACATTTTCAAAAAGTAAAACTTGTCTAATAGATTTTAAAAAAAATAACAGTTTTGGGTTCACAGCAAAACTGAGCAGGAAGTACTTATCATATACCTCTTACCTCCCCTACATCCACATCTTGCCAAAA